GTTAAATATTTAGTTTATAAACGATGACATTTATAAATGTATGAATCATATGGTGAAAAACTGACTTTGAAAAATAAATCTGTTCTTTTTTTCTTATAAAAGGTTAAATAAAACAAAAATATTGGTGGTAATTTTTGACTGTGTAACTTTACAAACGGCAGCCCATAGACATCCAGCATGGCGGGACCAGTCACTGTTTTGGCATTTGTATTGCTAAAAATGATAATATAAGTACAAAAAGCAATGGTTTTTAGGAGAAGAAAGCACATGAAGCGAAGCAAGGTGATACATCAGAGTATTATGAATTAACTTCTATAAGTTCTTCTTCTTTTGGTTTTATTGGTGGTTGGCAAACTCATTTAAGTGCATTACTGCCACCACTAAATTGGAAGGTGTTCAGTGGTCATTGCCAGATTTCTGCCTTTAATTCAAAACGTCACACACAGCATTGAATTGTGGGTAAAACACTTCACCAAAGTCCGTAAAAACGCGGACTTCACGTAAGGGTGGAAATAGTACCCAAAATGGACAGGACAAAGGGCAGATGTGGAGAATGTGGGACACACTACGTACTCAAACCCTTCAACATGAAGGTGCATTTGAAGTGCAGAAGGGTGGAATGAGCGTGGGAGTGGGAGTACTGGGACAGGACCTTATAGACCCTGACCCGACCTGTGTTGTCACAGTAACTGAGCCTCTGCCCACACACAGGTTCTGAGTTCTCACAAGAAGAAATACCTGCTTTGGATGTTATCATCCATTAAATGGACATTATCAGTCCCATAGAATGGCTTCAGACTGTCAGCTGGTTAATATGAGGCATAAAACCACTAAGGTTAATTTTAGAGAAAATGACATGGGCTATGATAAAGTAGACTGGACTCCGGCGGTAGCAGATTGTTGCATTCCAACGTATATGACACTGGTAACCCACTAGGGGGCACTGTCGTGGAGGTCTGAAGCCATTCTATGGGACTGATAACCACTGATAACATCCATTTAATGGACTGATAACATCCGAACAGACTGGAAGAAAAGGATCTTAGTTTAAAGGGTAATCTTTAATTATTAGGAGTCAGCTGACTGTCATGGCTGTGACATAATGTGGCCTAAAGGCTGTAACTCAGTCAGGTATACATTTGTTGAGCCAACATTTGGTGTGGTACTACCTGAGAGTCATTCATGAGTACTGACACTAGGGCTGTGTATTGGCAAGAATTTGGCGATACGATACATTTCATGACAGAGGGGTCACGATACGATATATCCCGATATATTGCGATACTATAAGCAAGGCGATATATCCCGATATATTGCGATACTATAAGCAAGGCGATATATTGCGATTTTTTAATCCAAAAATTCTATTAAATAAAAACCTCTTACAGAGGAAAAAAATCGAAAACCAAAATTCATTGTCTCAGAAATTTCTAAAATTACAGAGACATACTTTTGATACATTTAGCTGTGTTCTGCTTTGTATGTATTTTATTTTATTTGTTTCATATTTCATCCATGTTTTCCATTATTAGACTAAATTTG